TGTCGTCATCAGGTCTTTGTCGTCTGGCAAAGTGTGAAAGGGGTGAAGCCCAAAGACAGACCAGAACACCTGTGGCCATTATGAAAGCCAAAGCCACCTCCCAGGCCTGCGTGCTTTTCCCTCTGAACACTCAGCACCTGCCGGCTGAGGCTGAAAACCAGCTACGAGGCCTCTCATGGGCTCTGAGCGGTTGACTGAGGAATTAGGAGGATTTTGTAATAAGCCCATCCATTCTGCTGCATTCGAGTGCCTTCTGACTCCATGCAGCCCAGGAGAGCTGCACTTTAACCCTGTGTGCGTGTCTGGGAGGGGGGCAAAGCCAGAGACCCAGACCCCAGACAGGGATCGGGCTCCAAAGCTGTCACTTGCCAGCTGAAATGGACCTTGTCCAATCACAGAAGCCCCCTGGGTCTCAGCTACCACATCTCTACAGGTTCTCATCAGGACCACTGAAGACCAGGTTTTTTTAGTTTGTGTTTTTTTGTGTTTTTTTTTTTTTTAATTTTTAATTATGTGTCTGTTGTGGGTATGTGCACACAAATTCAGTACCCAGACCAGAAGAGCACATCTGATCCCCACAGAGCTGGAGGGAGAAGTAGCGGTCAGCTGCCCAGCACAGGTGTGCTCTGTAAGAGCATCAGGCACCCCAGCTGCTGCGCCATCTCTCCAGCCCAGACAACAAGTGTTTCGGCCACAAGCTCAACGTCAACTGCTTATGTTATGACCAACTGGGAGAAAAGGAAAAGCAAGACTTGGTGATGGCACCACTCGTATAGATTTTCTCTGTTTTGTGGAGATTGAAATTCCCCATTCCTCCTAACCTTGGCTCTTCGACTTACAGTGATTCCCAGAGACATCACAGTGCCCTCGTAAGAGGAGCTTAATCAGGACCCAAGTGGATTTAAGCTGGGAACAGGCCTGCACTGGGCGCAAGCTCCTACCTCGTGGACACTTAGGGTCATCCTAGAACAGCCTGTGTGCCTGTGCCGTCCATGCGGGACTTCATGACTACTCCTCCTGCATCTCAGACACGTGGTGTTATTGGCACCTCTCGGAAGGTGGCCTCCCATCTGAAGTTATTCCCTGCTCCCTTTAGCAGCTACAGAGTTGGCTCCCCAGTGAGCAGGCACTTACTGCTCTTACAGAGGACCCACATCAGACATCTCACAACCACCTCTAATTCCAGTTCTAGGGTATCTGACGCCCCCTTCTGGCCTCCTTGGGTACTTGCATGCACATGGTGCACACACACTAGGCACACACCTACACATAACATAAGAAAGAAGTAAATCTTTTAAAAATTGTTTTCTTGGCTTACACAATCATCACATACAAAAACTAATGTAAAATGCTGCTGCTGTAATGTTGAATCAGCAAATATATAACATTACAAAGTAAGATTCTAACTATGTAAAAGCTGTATACACATAAAGAAAGACTGATGAAAATAGTTGTAGTGGTTTTTTGTGGGGGGAATAGATAATAGAGTTTTCTGCTTTTCTACATTTTTCTGAAAACTTGAGAGGGCTCATACTGAAAGATTCCAATTTGAAAGATTTTAATGGTCCAATGGGAAAATCCACTTATGTATTGCATTTGACAATGTTATAAAAGTCAATAAAGATAATATCAAGAAGTTGAAAAATAGATTATAAAGATAATAATAACAACACATATAAGGATAATAATAAAAATTAAGATGTGTTCATAAAGATTCCAAGCCTGAGCCATTCAAGAGTGCATTACAGTGAAAATATATTAACAAAAGTTTTCTTACACAATAAAGACACCTCACAACCTATTTCATGATTTAACAACACAACCCAGGGCCTGGAGGGAGGGCTCATCAGTTAAGAGCACTGGCTGCTCTGACCCAGGTTTGGTTCCCAACACGGTTGGGTACAACCATCTGTAACTCTAGTTCCAGAGGCTCTGACGCCCCCTTTTGGCCTTTGAAGGCACTGCATGCATGTGATGCACAGACATACAGACAAAACACATAAAATCAAAATACATCTTGAAGAATGTGTTAATGATTTAAAATATTGCAGATGTCACTAGTAAGTGTGTATTATATAAAAAATGCATTTCAATCTCCCTACCCCGAGATAGACTCTCACTCTGTAGGCCAGGCCAGCTGGAACTCTGTGTAGCCTCAGCTAGATTCAAACTCACACCAGTTTTCAGGCCCCAGCCTCCCAGTACGGGCATTACAGATGTAAGCCACCACAGTTAGCTTGGACATAAACGCATGTTCTACAGTGGCACTGCCCCAAAGTAAGTTCCAAGGGAAGGTTGTCTCTAAGAAGTCGTGAACGTCACCTGAGAAAAGGGTCAATGGTCAGATGCACCCGGTAAACTCTAAAAAGCACTCAACCGGCCCATCCTTGTAACTTTGTGGAGCCTCAGATAAATGACTTGTCATGGTCAGTCTCTAAGAGTGGTGTGCAATTTGTAGCCTCGGCTTGAAGCATTTAGCAGAAAAACCTTCACCCCATAAAGGAGACTCGTGTAGGGTGCCCAGAGTCACAGGCATGCAGAGACATTCCCCATGTTTTCGATTTTCCGTGTCACGGCTGTGAAGCCAAGAGTGTGTCTATCTGTTGTAACAAGGGGTATGTGATGACTCTGAAGCATATGCACAGAGCCCGGTAAACCATTTCAACCAGTCACGTTTCACAGAACCCAAGCCCAGCTCCCACCTCTGGGCTGTGTCTCATGAGCCTTTCCCTTGCGGGAACCGAGGCACCAAAAGACCAGAAAGGACTTTTGAGCTTCATGGAAGGTTCTAGGCTTGGCTCTCCTTTATAAGGTGGCTTAGGAATGACATGAAACCCTGTAACTCCCCCTTGTACCCCCCACTCCCATACGCACACCCTTTGCTGGCATGCGAAGCGTGCTCAGGAAAGGGGGGGGGATCCCAAGCCACAAAAACCACATTCCTTTTAAGGGCTGTCTGTGTACACACCTTGGACCTTTGACTCCATCTCCCTGGGGAGCAAGGGATTTGGAGGCCTTGTGTGTGTGTGGGTTGGGGGGTGTTGCTGGGGGGGGGGCTGTTGCTGTTGGGGGGAGGGGAGCTGTTGCTGTGGGGGGGGGGGTTGTTGCTGTGGGGGCGGAAGAGGACTGTAATGGCTCTTACACATTCCCACTCTGTGAGTTTCCCATTCTGGGAGCTCGTTCAGCTCTTGCCCTTTGGGGACTCTGTTTCTTTATCTCCAAAATTGGGCTGGTGAGCCCCAAGTCTGGGCTAACCTCATAGAACATAGGACAAAATGGTCCCCCTTATCCCTGGGATAACCAGCCTTTGCCATCTCACCAAACATAGCATCCGCTCATCCTAAAAACCCACAACATGACGAATGTATTAAAAAAAAAAATCAGAAAGCTAATGTTCACATGAAGAGTTCTTATAAAAAATAAGGGGGCTGGAGAGATGGCTCAGCAGTTAAGAGCGCTGGCTGTTCTTCCAGAGGACCCAGGTTCAATTCCCAGCACCCACATGGCCCCTCACAACTGTCTGTAACTCCAGTTCCAGGGTACTTAAAACACCAAAGTACATAAAATAAATAAATTGTTTAAAAAATTATAAAATAAATAAATAATAAAAAAAATAAGCCAGGCTTAATGCTCAAGCCTATAATCACAGCTACTGGGGAGGCTGGGGCAGAATGATTGCAAGTTCAAAGTCAGCCTGAGCAACTTAGTGAGACCCTGTTTCAAAATAAAACATACAGAAAGGACTGGGTATATGGCTCAGTGATAGAGTGTTTGCACAGTGTATATGAGACCTCGGTTTCAACCCCTCTTATCATGAAAGTAAATAAATAATAAGCTATTACAACAATTGGCAAAAGTCAAGAATGTATCTTCAGAAGAAACAACACAAAAGGCTAATACAGGTCTTCTGGGGCAAAGTTTTGGGACTGAACCCAGCCTGGTGCATGTCAGGGGAGTACTCCATTGCTGAGCCACACTCCCACACCCTCAGCCCTGTGCTTTTATGTCTATGCTCATTTTGAGGGTTAATAGACTCTCTAGATGGTGTTAGCTAACATTAATGGTAAAGCTTGACTTAACTGTGTCATATTCTGAGACAGGTACTCAGGCTTATGAAAATACCAGATGTCGATGGCAAAGAACTCCTGCCTACAGGAATGTGGTTCAAACCATGGCTTCCTCACCATGCAATGATGTGCTACTAAAATAGATGTGGTAGTTCAGAATGCAGAGCAATTGGAACTAATACGCTGGAGGTAAAAGGTAAATTAGGAGAGCCAGTTATTGGAGATCGTTGGCTTTTACTGCCAAACCTAAACATACGCATTGGCTGTAACTTAGCAATTGTATTCCTAAGCACGTGGTTAACATAACATGTGCATTCACCAGAAGACACTGAAGAAATGCTTACGCCAGCTAAAATGGCCCAAATCTGGAAAAGAGCCCACATGTCCATCAACAGCAGAATCAATAAAGAAATTGTGATGTATTTATACAGAGGTTTGCCATATATGGCAACAAGAGTAAATACGTTATTATATATAAATAAGTTGCTATATGTAACCTGAAAGAATTTCATTCATCTACTGCTGAATGAAAAGATAAACACAAAAGGAGGGCCCAGCCAGAGGTGCAAGCTCAGAGAGCCGGATGAGCTGAAGTCAACCCTGGAACCCACTGAAAGGTGGAAGCAGAGAACGGACACCACAAAAATTGCCTTTTGTCCTCCACATGCATGCCATGGCTAGTACACACACACACACACACACACTCACACACGCGCACACACACGCACGCACGCACGCACGCATGCATGTACTCACATAGGCACAATACTAATAAAATAAACTTTAAAACCCACAACTGTTGTACAGTCCACTGTATAATGTTCCAATAACAGGAAAAAACCCCAGAAATTAGAAGTTATGCCTGGATTACTTTGAGGGGAGGAAATTCCATAAGTAGGAGCCGTCCAAAGCAGGTTCTGAGGCACTTGAAACCTCACCCGGCCCGGACACAGACAGGATTGACAGATTGATAGCTCTTTCTCGTCTCCTCTCCGTTGGCGCTGGCTGTGAAAGTCAAGCTAGTGTGCAACCGTGCTGGGGGCTGGGGGCTGGGGGGTGTACTCACTCAGCCTGGCACATTGCCGCTTCTGCGCTGCTTCAGCCAAAAGTCTGTAAAAATGACACAGGAGAAGCATTTGAATGGCGTGGGAAGACAAGCTGTCAGGTTACAGAATTAGGTTGACGTAGATACAGAGAGAGTGGACAGAATGCCCGCAGCTCTTCCTGTAAGGGAGCCTCAGAAGCACATGCACCACATCTCTATACATGATATACTTCTGTATGACATCCAGATGCATAATGCCTCCTGTATAACATCTTTAGGGTAATCTATAAGTCACGGTAAAAGTGACCGATTCAGAGAACGGGAGAGACAGGGAGAATTTTTACTTTTTTTTTTTTTTGTATCTCATGAGATCTTACCTGTGTATAGATGCTCTCAACTTGATGCATAAACAAATAAATCAGATTAGAAAACAATTTATTTTGTGAGAATAAAGTAGTGGTGATGTTAATATAAAATGCTGGCCATGGAAACCTCCAGGCGATAAGATCATGGTTGCGTTTCATTTCCTGTTTTGTAAACCATCTGTATTTCTGCTGTCTTCTATTGTGATTTTTCTTTTCAGGGCTTGGGACCCAGGGTATTTTTTTTTTTTTTTAGAAAACAACCCCTCTATGGCTGAGGTACACCCCCAGCCAACACACTATTCCTTTGAGAATAAGAAAAGTCATAGTTTGTTTGCAATTTCAGTTTAAAAAAAAATCAGTGGTATGAGGTGAAATTTGCACAGTGTAAAATGAGGGAATCTAAAGAGAACGTTGAGCTCGTCTTACAAGGATATGTACACTTTGGTTGTCACTCAATCAGGACACGGCTCAACCCCCCAGAAAGTCCTCCCACACCCCTTTGCAATCAAGCCTTCCCTGCTAATCAGGCAGCAGCCAGTCACCCGAGTTTTTGGTACCCCAGCTTAATTTTGCCAGCTTTAGAAACTCCCAGAAATGGAAACTATGAGGTATGTATTCATTTATTTATGCATCAAATCAAATGAGGTTAAGACCTCATGGGATATGAAAGACTTTTCACCCAAAACAATGTTTTTGGAATTCATGTTTTCATATCAATGATTCATCATATACATATATACATACACACATATAGTGTATGTGTGTTACGAATGGGGATTAAGGTCTCAAGCTCCCTGCTTTCTGATCAGCCCGGTGAGACAGCATCACAGCCCTGCGCAGCCTCAGGAGCCGGGCGGGTTCTCTGGCAGCGCGAGGACCCGCGCTTCCCCCTCCGCTGGCGCTGGCGGCAGCGCCTGTCTCAGGTGAGAGCCACCCTGCTCGCTGCCATTGTTCTGCGAGTGACAGCCTCCCGGGCAAAAGCAGAGCTGTCAACCTGAGGGCTGTCAACTGCACACAAGAATTCCTTTCTTTGTCAGGCTGGGTGGTCTCGGTGGCTGCAGCGGCAACCTGCACAAAAGGTTTGGGAGAGCATCGTGCTCCTGCAGGAAAACATGCCGCCGCCACCCGGGTCTCTGAGAGAACCTTTATGTGAGCTCGGGATGAGCCCTTGTGCCCTTCCCTGGACCAGGACCAAATCCCCAGCGCAGCCTGGGTGAGGGCCCTCCCCTCCCCCCACCTCAGCACCTGGATGCTGCCTGGCATTGATTTCTCCCAGATCCTTGGTGATGGACAGTTGGAAGTCTCCTAGAGGTACCTGGCCTCACTCACCATCTTGGTCTCCAAGAAGGGAAGGGGGTCAGACGGAGATTGTCATTGCCCAGGTCAAATAGCCCCCCGATTCTGTCCAGGACAAGAAGCCACGTGCAGACGTTTTCCTCCTTGATGTGTGTTTGTACTACTCCCGGTCTGCTTTTGTTAGATGATGGCTCCCAAGCACAGTGTAAAGTACAATTTAATTTATAACTTTGCAGCCACTAGGAATGTGTTCCCTTGATGGGTCTCGTTTTGTTTAGTTTGGTGCCCTCTACTGGCTACGGGTGACAACAACCGTTGCACCTACCGCCAGGACCTTGAATATGCACGGTTATTTCTGAGGCTGAAGAACAAGCCTGTGGGTAATTTCATCCCCGTTTTATAGGTGAAGAAACTGAGGCTCGTGGAGAAGACATAACCTGCCCAACTGAGCTTGGTTGAAGCTCAGCAACGGATGGGATTCCATGTCCCCCTGCCTCTTAGTGCCTGCAGCACTTTCTCTTTAAGTGCCTATGAATGCCTCAATTGCCCCTTAGTCATCCCCGGGGAGACGGCTGCTGTGACAGAGATGTGTTCAGGACACAAGGCCAGCCCAGCCTGTGCTCGCTGCCCAGGGCTCTGGGGCACTGCCCAAGAAAGCCACAAGGTCCCCTAGGAAGCATCTTTTCTGGGCCACTTTCAACCAGAGTGAAAAGAAGGAGGTGGTGTGTTCCCACCCAGGGGGAAGGGACTACATCCGGGTGCCCTCTGCTCCGGGCTGTAGGAGGCAAGGGTTCACCAGAAATAACCAGAGAAAAGAAGATATATTCCTTCCTCCCCGGGGAGCTCACATCCATCCCTACTGGAATCAGCAGATGTTGTGCCAGTAAGCCTCGGGGTCAATGGGCGAATGAATGAATGGGTGAATTAATGAATGGCTCAACTGCTGAGCAGTGCAGGTCAGGGGTCGGGAGATGGTTTATGACAGGGAACTTGCCCTTGATGTAAGTGAAGGGTCTATTTCTGTTAGCTTGAGCAGTCTGCAGGTAGAGAAAGCTGTGTCCTAAGCCTGAGCTCCACGTGCCGGGCTAGATGAGCAGGGCTGAGAGGACCACGGAGGAGATGCTGGGAAGGGACAACAAGACAGCACACGTTTCTTACCTGTGGTGTCAACCACTGGAGACTGAAGGTTTCACACATAACCCTGCGTTTTTTCGCTCCCCTTTAACAAAGTGCAGGCCGTGGCCTCAGTGGGCCTGCTCCAGCCTGTCACTGCTGCCTGCCGCCTCCTTATTGTCCCCTTAAACTGAAGATGACTGGCAGGCACCATTTCACCTTGAGCATGTGCTATTTTTCTTTTCATGAAACAAAAACAATAGCCGGCATGGTGGCATACACCTGTAATCCCAGCTGCTCGGGAGGGTGGGGCAGGAGGGTAGCAAGTTCAAAGCCAGTCTAAGCAACCTCGCAAGGCCTTGCCTCAAAGGGAAATGTCCTAAAAGGGGTCTGAGTGGGAGTAGGGATGTAGTTTGGTGGAGATGCCCCATCCAGCACACCCAAGGCCTTGGGTTCTGGTTCCACCACTGCAAACACAAAGAATCAACAGACCTAAAGCCATTTTTCTTACCAGGTATTCATCAGAGAGAACTCAAGAGACAGGAGCCATGTAATTTAAGAAAGAGAGGACATTTCATGAAAAATTAAGTGGGGAGATGGCCCAGCCAGTTAGAAATGCATGGTATGCTAGCCTGGATACCTGAGTTTGAACCCCAGAACCTATGGTGGAAAACCAAGTCCCCAAAGTTGTCCTCTGACTTCCACATGTGCATGCATGAACACACACACACACACACACACACACACACACACACACACACACACACGCACACACACACGCACATATGCACACTCACACTAATAGTAATAAGAAGATAAAAATAAATAAAGCTGTAACAACTACAACATCATGCAGTCATACAGCAATCCCACTGGGTATATAGTAGATGTCTAGTGTTCTGACCATGAAGAAGCATGCAGGTCATATGGATGTTAATTGATTTAGTCATTCCACAACACACAGGGTCTTACTGTCACCCAGGCTCTCCTGGAACTCAGGGCAATCCTCCCACTTCAGCCTCCCAAGTGCTGGGATTACAGTGTTAGTCATCGTGCCCAGTTCAAAATAAATAAAAACTGTAAAGGGAGGGGCTGGGCATGTGGCCGTTTGTAGCATGCTTGCCACAGATGCTCAAAGCCCTAGGTTTGATTCCTAGCATCACACAAACCAGACATGGTGGTACATGTCCCTGATTCTTGGGAAGTTGATGTAGGAGGATCTGAAGTTCGAGGCTATTCTTGGCTATATGTTAAGCTTGAGGCCAGTCTGGGATACATAAAAAGGAAAACAAAGATAAAACACAAGTTTGAGGAAGTGAAAAACTTCCAAATAATTGAAAGATAAATGCCCAGCTTCCTAAGCTGCTTGCTGTTGAGTCTGAAATGTCTCAGACAGGTGGATGTATTCAACACTTCGTCCCCAGCAGGAGGGAACTTTATAGGGCAGGGCCTAGCTGGAGGAAGCAGGTCACCAGGAGTGTGCCTTTGGAAGTATATGTGGTACTGGGATGGACTGCAACTTTTGACACTGGGGGCCAAAGAAGTAATTCCAAGCCCCTTACATTGTTTGTACCAGGTGCTTCTGACACAGTGACAGAAAATCTAACACAGCTTTCTGCCAGCCTGAGCCCAGCTCCGCGCAGAGGAGTCAAGTGGCGTCTTGGAGGTCTTCTTGTTCATTTGGATCGGAATCTCACCCTGTTGCCATTTCTGTCTTTAACATATGAGAACTGTGGCTTCTGGAGGCAGATATGAACGTGGCCATAACATAACCAGCATCTGGGAGCTCACACTGCCTGTGGCCACAAAGGCCGAGCAGAGACAGCAGCTGAATCTGGAAAGCAAGCTTTAGTCAGAGAGCAGATAATCCCTGAAGGTAGCAGATTAGCATCTTAAATTTGATCATATTTACTCGTTTATTTGTGCATGCATGGGTGAGAGTGTGTGTGCATGTGCCAGGTGGGTCCCAGGGGTTGAATTCAGATCATCAGGCTCGGCAGCAGGCACCTTTACCTGCTGAGCCATCTCGCTGGCCCCAGATTACCAAGTTAAAAAGCAAGCAAGCAAACAAAAACCTGCCTTCCTTCTCATCTCCACCCAGGAAGCTTTGTAAGGATTGAAAGCGGGGTGGGAACAAAGGCTGTCAGTCATTCCAGAGCTCAGTCTTGCCCCTCTGGACAGTCACACTTTGGAGGCAATGCCTGTGACTCTTTCATTATTGTCCTTTGTATCCATGTATGCTTTCTTAGTTCCATGGGTGTCTGGGCTTGACACCCCTTGAAACACTGAGTTTAGTTATTATCTGGCAATGTCAACTTTGAACTTCTCCGGGGGCATCTGGGCTGCTAGGAAGAGTGCTTAACTGCAAATAAGCACTAAGTGTGCACATGCTAAAGTATTGTTAAGTGTAGAGACTTCTCTACCGCGAAGAGTACAGATGTGTCTTTCTAATACAGAATATGAAAGTGTCCCTCCTGTCCGGCATCCCTGGTACCCATTCAAGTGAGATGAACGTCCAGATGAATGAGAGCAAAATGACTCCCTGCCTCTGCCCCAAGGAAGCCCCTTGGCCATGTGGCACTCTAGTAATCTTTCGGATTGGCCTTTCCGGATTTTCTTGGTGGATAAGGGTTACTTAGCTCTTTCCTCTTCACCCTGGCCACACCAATGGCTCTCCCCCTCCGCAGGGGCTCCTCTAGAACTGCTACAGCATCCATATGTATTCTCTACAGTTGCTTTGGTAAGCATAGCAGTTCCTCAGAATGTTAGACATGGAGCCCTCACATGTTTCAGCAATCCATGCCTGTGTCTGTATCCACCAGAGACCACATATGCTGATACCTGGATGCTCACAGCAGGGGTTCCACCAGTGGATGAACGGATAAATAAAACATATGTCCACATAATGGAATGTTGTCAATAAAGAAAAGCGTTGATACAAAGTGCAATGTTGATGAACCTTTATGCTAACATGGATTGAAGCTGTATGCTAAGTCAAGGATGCCAGACACGGAAGGCCATGTGTTCTAGGACTCTGCTTATAGGGAGCATACGAGTTTGAGGACAGAAGAGACTGATGCTTGCTCAGGGCCATGGAGGTTCGAGCTGGAGGTGAGGGAAGTGACTATTAATGGCTGTGGGGTTTGTTTCTAGGGTGACAAGAATGTTCTAGAATGGATTCTGGTGACATTTGTACAACCTGTGACCATAGTGAACATGATTAGACTGTTTGCTTTAAAGGGGCAAGTTGGAGAGCATGTGAACTGTGTCTGAGCAGAGCTGGGGGCATTGCCCGTATGAGGGATTTATGTATGTGCTCAGGGTCCTGTCCTCAGCGGCTCATGGTGACAGCAAGGCACTCAACAGTAGGTTTGACAACGTCCACTCTAGGCCAATTCTGGTTCCTGGATGCCAAAGGATTCTGCCAGATTTCATCTTGTACCATTCAGAGGCTTAGGAGTTGTGGAAGGAGGGTGTGGGTAGTTGGAGGATGAGGCAGAGGGTGAGGGCTAAGTTTCAGATGAGCAAAGAAGTAATATCCAGGCAAAATATCCAGAAAAAAAAACCCCAAAGCGTAGAGAAGAGAGAGTGTAGCGCACGGCAGGTCTAGAAAATGCCGTTTCTGTCAGCTTGGCTAAAGAATTAAGTCCATGATGAGGGCTGACGGGAGCAGGTCCTCCAAAGACTGCTGGGCCCAGATGTGAACTTAAAGTCTACGATGAGAAGTCAATTAATGATGTCTGAGCAGAGGCCTGGGCAACGTTGTAGACAGTGCTGCAGCCAGCCCATGCAGAGGATGGATCACGAGGCGTCAGCCCGAGGCACCAGGTCAGAGGTTACCCAGGGACGTCAGCAAGGACGGCATGAGGGCAGCAGCAGTGGGCCCGGTAGGGACAGAGGCCGAGACACTCAGCCACTTTCTAGGCATGATGACAACTGCAAAAGCAAATGTATCTGCTAAGCATTGCACTCGGCAGCACGATTAACTATTAGGGGAGGCTCTCGCCAGTGACTACAAGTGGTCTGTGGTTTGAAGCTGCAGCCACCGTGTTATAAAGGTAATTGAAGGGAAATCCTCAGTTGGGGTAAGAAGAGAACAGGGACCCAAAAGCCTAACACTCCACTATGTGGCGGGAGGTCAAGCCTGTTAACTGGTGAACCCTAGACCATGATCCTTACCTGGTCTATGATAGGCAACAGTCCCTCTGGTCCAGGCTTGAGACTGACGCAGGCGTCTCTACGTTAAAGCACTCTGTTAGCCGCATGGGAGCTCCTGGCCTACCACTGCGCACTGACCCCGACAAGATAAACTAGTGAAACAGGTGCCAGGAAGACATGTTCTCGTGGAGAGACTTGAACCCAGCTCTCACTCTTGAGGGTTTGGTTTTACAGAAGTTCCGTGACATCTCCGTGTGTTACTTTCTCCTTTATGAACTGGGCCTAGAGAGTCCACTAGTGAATTAGTGTATTCTAAGTGCTAATTAGTGAATTCTAAATGCCTTAAAATGACCTGTGCACTCAGGGGGCTGAGGTTGGAGGACTGTGAGTTTGAGGCCAGTCTTTAGCACACATACATACGCAGCAGACCTTGCCTCAAAACAACCCAAAACCCTTGTGTATGGTCAGCTTCATGTAAATGTTGGCCATTATTGTTGTTATTATTAAAATAGAGACAGAGCCAGGGAGCAGTGGGAGAGCCATTGTAGGGTGTCTCCTGTCACCACTGGCATATAAGTAGAAGCAAGACGTTCTCGAGGCTCAGCTCTGCACTTGAGTTTCGGCGCTAGAGAGATACACAACTAGGCATATTCGCCATCAAATTAAATCGGTTGAATCCAGTGGCCGTTTGCTAAGCAGTTCCTGCGTGCTGTATTATACATGAGGTCATATACCAATGCCACGGTGTGTTCTCCTAGTGTGAAGGATGTCACGGATGGTGAAGGTGAGCACATTAAGGGGGAAAGCCTCAGGGAATCAGAGGAAAAACAGCCCCGTCACGCACGTGGAGAAGAGGTCCTGGCAAGGCCCTGCCAGTTTTCTCGTCCCCCTTCCTGGATTCCCTTCTCCAGCGCCTGCCCTCTTTCAGTTCCACGGGGGCTTTCAATGCCCTGTCCTTTGTGCAGCTTCCTCGTTAAGGCAGGATCTGTGGGTCTGGGAGGTGAGAGGGGTCTGATGTGGGAGGTGGAGGCAGCCACAGCCTCCCCGAGACGGGACGGGGAGAGGCAGGGACACGGTTCCCGGTTTGTTACCCTTGTCTTTCTTCCTTTTGTGCCCCCACCGAGGTGACTCACGCGCTTCGCTCTGGGCAAATCCCATAGCCTTTGTCAGCCTGTGGGATGTACAGATCAGGGCACGTCCTCCTCCTTTCTCTGAGGAGGGAGCCTGCTTTGGGCTCCGTGGAGGCGCCAGCTCACGGTTCAGACCCGATTCCGTGAAACTCTATCACAAAACGTCCTTGTGCCCAAGGAGAGGGAGTCACCTGGAGAGGGAGAGCAGCAAGTGTCCAAGACTTTCAAAACACTGGGGCCCACGAGGCCTCCAGGCTGCACACTGCATCCTGCCAGATCCAGTGCTTTGTTGGGGAGAGGATCCTAAGCACCGATCACTCTCAGAGGTTATTTTAGGGGGAACGCTGTTACCCCATTCCCTAGAAATATGCCTTAGCCACCAAGTCAGAACCGTGCAGAGTCTAGGGAGGTCATCAACAGGTGCTGGCACCTGAGATTTGGTACCTAGGTGGTGGTGGTGGTGGCAGCAGCGGCGGCGGCGGCAGCCGTGGTGGTGGTGGTGGGGGAGGGTGTTTATAAATTTGTGGTGTTCAGATTCCCTGCTCTGGCCAGAAAATACATTCATGAAGTTGTGCAATCCTCAACACTGTCTGGTTCTAGAAGTTTCAACACCCCCAGAAGGACGCCCCATAGCTACTAAGCAGCCTCTCCTCCCAGTAACCCTAACATGCTTTCTATCTTGGTGGGCTTGCTTATTCTGTGGGTTTCATCTAAATGCACTCATATGCGATGGCCTTTTTGTGAGTGTCTTCTTTCTCTTAAAGAGAAACATTTTCAAGGTTCAGCCATGTTGTAGTATAGATCAGGGCTTCATTATTTTCCATGGCTGAAAAAGTTCACTGTCTGGTAATACTATACTTTGTTTATCCATTCATAAGTTGATGGACATTTGGGTAGTTTCCAGCTTTTGGTGACTGGGAACAGTGCTGCTGTGAACATGGCCTCTGGCATATTACTCCAAAGCACGGGGAGAAACAATGTGCATTTCCTTTCCAATGCCATCTTGCCACACAGGAGGAATCACTGTCATATCCCTAGCTGGATGAAAGGCTTCCTGGGGCTGGAGAGATGGCTCAGAGGTTAAGAGCACTGGCAGCTCTTCCAGAGGTCCTGAGTTCAATTCCCAGCAACCACATGGAGCTCACAGCCATCTATAATGGGATCTGATGCCCTCTTCTGGCATGCAGGTGTACATGCAGATGGAGCACTACATACATAAAATAAATCTTAAAAAAAAAAAAAAGAAAGAAAGAAAGAAAGGTTTTCTGAAACTAGGGGTTTCTTCTGTGTCTAGAGTGGCCAGTCCGTTGTCATGGGGCTGCCTGGCTTCCCATGTGGTTATGGCTTTGGCTCTCCACCCATGCCCCACAGCTGATGTTGGGCTACAGACTGTGTCCTACTTCCCTCTGCTGCCTTCCTGTTTTCTCATGCTTTTTAGATGTCACGCCGTCATTCTTCATTCCCGATGCTCTTCTCCACACTCTCTTTACCGTTGGAGACAGTGTCTCCTGTAGCCCAGGCTGGTCTGGAACACACTGTGTGACCAAGGAGGACCTTGAAGTCCTGATTCTCTACCTGCCAAGTGCTGGGATTACAGGCATCTGTCACTATGCTTGGTTTCTGTCCTTGAAATACAGCCCCTCTTTTGCCAGCCTCACCTTTTCTCATCCGCAGAGTCGCACTGAGGAAATCGTAGCCTGGCACCTTAACCCAGGGGCCTCTTTTTGTTCCCGTGAACTCACCTTCTTGATAATGTCCTTTGAGGTGCCAGAGTTTTAAACTTTGACATACTAATTAATTTTTTTCTTTTGTGGCTTGTGCCTTTGGTGCTATGGAATTGGAGACTTTTTTCACCTGGACAAAATAAGTGGATGGGGAGGGAGAGTAATCTGACAAAAAGAGAACAGAGTGGCTTGAAATATTTTTATCATCTATTCAGTCAAACGATCTCAACAGGTACCTGATTTAAATATACTGATATGTAAATAACATATATGACCAATACCTTAGAACTACTGGTATACACTTCCTGAACTCTAGCCCCTGAGCATCAGTGGAGATACTCCGTGTGTCAGATTGGTGTTTCCAAAAGTCAGTCTTTTTTTTTTTTTTTTTTTTTTTTTTTTTTGAGAAAGGGTTTCTCTGTGTAGCTTTGCGCCTTTCCTGGAACTCACTTGGTAGCCCAGGCTGGCCTCGAACTCACAGAGATCCGCCTGGCTCTGCCTCCCGAGTGCTGGGATTAAAGGCGTGCGCCACCAACGCCCGGCTTCCAAAAGTCAGTCTTAAGTGGTGAATGTAGTTATTAGGTTTAATACTGTTTGGATTTAATTACGTTTTATGTCATAAGGACCAGGCAAACATGTTTGGAAAGCATGCAGTGTTTCTTTGTTCTGCTGATCACATTTTCGGAAGTCAGGACAGTTGGCCGGGATTTAGACCATTTGTCTGGCAGGCAAGGAAAGTTCGATAGAAAGGACACTGAGCCAAACACTCGCCAGCGTGGAACTAAGTTCTGCATTCGCCAAGAAAGCTTGAGGCAGAGTTCTCCTTTCAAATGTGCGGCTGGATTCTAGGTATGTGCCCAACATGAAGTTAGCTATTGGTCTGTGTGACTGTCACAGATTGGCAATGCTAATGGCCACTTTATATGTGCCAGGCACCGTGATGGCAGAGCTAATCTTCGCCAAGGACCTGCAAGGTGATGCCAGAATCCTTTTTCTACCGGGAAAAAAAAAAAACGGAGCTTTGGTTAAATAACTTGCCTAAGGCCACCCAGATTTTAGAGTCAAAGCTAAGACTGACTGAATGCGAGCTCAAAGCTCATAGTCTGAACCATAAGTGGAACTAGTATCTGACGACTACTAGATCTAAAAAGTTGACCTCAGCAACATCCCTCGGTACCGTTTACAAGTCCACTACCCACTACCATCCCTTCCGCCACCACCCCTCGGCTGCGCAGGCGCGTTGCCTCGCCCACCACTCTCCCTTCCGCCACCACCCCTCGACCGCGCAGGCGCATTTCTTCGCTCCGGCGGCTGGCGGAGGAGGGTCGGGATTGTAGCTACTAGAAGCCGCTCGTGGTGCGCGTGCGCGGACTCACCGACTAGTGCTGACCATGGCGACGGCGGAGGACCCGCGGACGTCACCGGAGCCCGCGGAGCTGCCGGCCGCCGTACGCGCGAGCGTGGAGCGGAAGCGGCAGCGGGCGCTGATGCTGCGCCAGGCCCGGCTGGCAGCGCGGCCATACCCCGCGGCGGCGGCGGCCACCGGAGGTGGGAGCCCCTGACGGGCGCGCGCAGGGCCTCCCCCCCTCCCGGCGGGTTTGTGACCGCATCCCGGGCCTTCCGGCTGCTCCTCGGTGGCGCGCTCGGGCTCGGTGTGCGGGAACAGCCGTGCATGCCCGTGCCTCCGTGGTTCCAGTCCTTCCCTGTCGTGACCTCTGCCCGGCGCCTCAGTGGTGCAGAGCTTTCAGCCTTGCAAGGATTTAAACAATAAGCCCGCACCTTCTCCCAGTCCAGCGCCCAGCAGAAGCGACCCTGGCCCAATCTTTCCCCTGGGTCCTGACTTCCAGGGCCTCATTGAGTAACACACGCAGTGCCCCTCTCTTTGTCACGGCCACCCTGGAAAATGGAAAGGGCAGGGCTTGGTACCCCTGTTTTACCCCTGGCAGTTGAGATCAGAAAAGAAAAGGGATTTTCCCCAGGTTAATCAGGACCAGAACGGGTCATGTGGCCCTGGGTTCATTTTGGCTATACTTGTCATCTTAGGGTAGCCGCTGCCTGGCTATTTTCTGAGTTTTTAATGTCAGTTGTGCTTTCAGCTGCTGGCGTTGTCCTTGAGAGTAATTCATCTGAATTATTTCTACAGAAGTAATTTACTTTTTTTATCCTCCTTTCACAACTTCATGTATTGTATATATTTTTATGTATAATATATATGTTTTAGCAGTACATACTGAACAATAACGCGTAGATTTTATGACAGTTTGTACTTTTAGACTTTCTTCTAGGGTTGCCATTGGATTTGATTTGTTGCTTCTGACCAGCAAAGCTGGATTGTAAACTAATTTAGATTTGGATCCTTCGAAGTCATTTGAAAGTCCTTATGTACCATTTTGTAATGTGAAAAGTTATCTTCCTTTTTGTTGGTCATAGTGCAGATCTTGGAAGATCTGATTGATGCAGCCTCGGTGTCCCATTGTCCATATGCAGATAGACACTGCTGGATAAATGTCTTACAAATATCCTTCCCCTACCCGCTGGGAATGCAAACAGCCTGGCACATGCCCAGACCGTGCAGTTCAGAACACCAGGGAAATTAGACATAGCATAAGATGGCTGGGTCTGGTGACGCAGGTCTGTAACCACAGCTGCTAGGGAGGCTGAGACGAGAGGATCTTGTTTAAGGCCCGCCTGGGCTACAGCGTTTGCAAGTTAGCGAGGCATTGGCTCTGAACATGTAAAAGAGGCCCGTGGATGATGTTCAGTGGCGGAGTGCTTGCCTGGCCAGCTGTCTTTAGGCCTGCTTACGGCTTGGCCCTTGGCTGCTGTCTAAAAACTTGGACCGTGGTATGTTTCCACTGTTCCCGAACTGGTGGTTTACGGTGGCTAAATTGTATAGAATGTGATTTATGCAGTATACCTGTGTAGGTCTTTGGAAGTCGGGCATTTGGGGCTGGAGTATGGTAGGGAAGGAAGCTCCCATGCTTGGGACTCTTCTAGACCACCCACTTGCCCAGTGTCTTTTCACTTGACTTTTCATTTGTATTTAAAATCCTTTGCAACTAATTGGTGCACGTAAGTGAATTATTTTCCAAGGTTGTGCGTGTTGTAGAAGATTAACTGCAGCCAGGGAAGCAGTTTGGGGAACCCTGATTTATAGCCAGTTGATCAGAGTCCCTGGTCTGCAGTTGGCATCTGAAGTTGGGCAATCAGGGACCGAGACCTCAACCTGTTGGATCCGACTCCAGGTGGATAGCGTGAGAACGGAAGTGGAGGGCACCCAGTTGGTATTCACTGGAGGATGGTTGGGGTGTAGGTGTTCATTAACAGTGTTGAGTGGTTCTGTCCATAACTGGAGCTCAACCTCAGACGTGCCTGGAGTTCACTGAGCTCCGGCCTTGGTTTGGATTTGCTGTAGCTGCTGTAGGAGCGACCTTACTTCAAAAGCCCCATTTCCTAGTACACAGTCAAGTGAGTTCCACCAGGTGCATCCCAGGGTTCTGAGTGGTCTGGGTGTCTGCTGTGCCCTGTAGTCACTAGAGAGGCTTCAGGGGGTTGTCCTGTAGTCGGAACAGTAGGTTCTTGTGGCTGTTTTATAGACATCATCTGTGAGGAAATACCATTTTACTTCTTTCTACCTCTTAGGCTTTTTTGTGTTTTTTTTTTTGTTTGTTTGTTTGTTTTTGTTTTCATTTCTTGCCATGCTCTTCCAGCTGGGTCCATCTGGACAGTCTGAATAGAAATGGTGACACTTATCCTTTCCCTATTTACCTACAGGGGAACCCCTGGGCTTGCCTGGGTCAGCTGATGACTGCCTTTATCTGCTTTCTGTAGGCATGACCAGTGTAAAAGTCCCTCCCAGAATGATTGACACCAAAGGAGGCTTCATTTTAGAAGAGGAGGAGGAAGAGGAACACAAGATTGGAAATGTTGTTCATGACCCAGGTAAAGCAGAGTTTTTCCACAGAAGCATTGACACTGGTTATTCGGAGTAACATGAAGGGTTCTTTGCTCATTGATCAATGGGAAGATTGGTGGTAGATTAAAAAGTCAGAGACGGGGGAGGAGGGAGGAACTGGAAGAGTAGAGGGAGGGGAAACTGTAATCAGGATATATCGTATGAGAAAAGAATCTACTTTCAATAATGGGAAAAATACAACCGTATAGGTGTGTGTGTATATGTATATATTTATACTATCAGTTTACAATGCTAATTTTTGTGTATGCTCCCTTTTCATGGTGGAACAGATATGCTTAAACATGCAGTTTCTTGGTCATATGATAATATATTTAATTTTATGAAGCCCTACAACACAGTTTTAGGCAGATTTGTAATTTCTTTTTTTTTTTTTTTTTTTTTTTCTTTCAAGACAGGGTTTCTCTGTGTAGTTTTGTGCCTTTCCTGGAACTTGCTCTGTAGACCAGGCTGGCCTCGAACTCACAGAGATTTGCCTGCCTCTGCCTCCCGAGTGCTGGGATTAAAGGCGTGTGCCACCACCGCCTGGCTAAGGTTCATAATTTCAAACTCTCATCAGTGATATAGGAGAGGGCTGGCTTATCCACATTTGGTGCAGTTTTCTTACCAGTCTCTGGTCATATTATCCCCATGTGAATCAGTAGCATGCTTCAGGTTTGAATTGTGTATACTAGATGCTAATGGTGTTGGACATCCTTTCAAGTATTCATTGCCCATTTTACATTTTGGAGCAATATTTATTCAAAACTTCCTGTAATTTTAAATTAAACGATCTATCCTTTAATGCTGATACAAAATGTAAGTTCTAGATACAGGTTTCCTATCAGTTTCAGCATATAAATGGTTGGCTATATTCATTTTCTCTTAGCTCAGGGTGTCTTTGAATTGGCTTGATGATATTCTCTTAAGAGGATTTTGTTTGTAATATTAGCAGTATCCAATTAAAATAGCTTCCCTTCGCAAGAAAGAGAGAAGGAAAAGAAATTTTCATACTTCAAAATTCATGTACAAAATTACTCCTATTCTCTTAAGTATACAATTTATATTCTGGGGGCTTGTTAGTGTGTATATATATAAATATATATTTTAATATATATAATTTGTTTACTTTTTATTTTGATTTTTTGAGACAGAGTTTCTCTGTGTAGCTTTGGAGTCTGTCTTGGAACTCACTCTGCAGACCAGGCTGGCCTCAAACTCACAGAGATCCACCTACCTCTGCCTCCCAAGCGCTGAGATTAAAGGTGTGCGCTACCACCTCAATGTGTAATTTTAAATGATCCTCTTCATTATAAAATTCCTGAGAATTTTTTTCCATGTAATTCTTTATTTGTTCATGAATATGGCCTTACATTTATTAAATATATTCATTAACAACAGCAAAGTCCAACACCCAGGCATGTGGTTTACTTGGTTTACGTATGTGGGGGTGGACATTTGCTGATGGATGGAATAAATTCTCAGAAGTGTTTTCATGATCTGGGCATGGTGCTGCTTGGGAGGCTAACGCAGGATTGTGGTGGTAATCTAATTGTATTGAAATATTATTTTGATTTGTACTGAAATATTAATTTGATTGTATGTTAATAAATAAAGTTGTCTGGGGGTCAGAGCTATTAGAGCCATAGCAAGAGTGTGGCGGTGGTGGCACACGCCTTTAATCCCATAGATATCTGTGTGTTCAGGGTCAGAGCTATTAGAGCCATAGCAAGAGTGTGGCGGTGGTGGCACACGCCTTTAATCCCATAAGATCTCTGTGTGTTCAGGGATACAGCCAGCATTGGAGACATATGCCTTTAAGACCTAGGGGGCTGTACATTCAGACAGTGACGAGGCAGTCATGTGTTTGGGTTTACAACCAATGAGAAGGCAGAACAACATACTTTAAAAATACGAACCGACAGGAAGTAGGTCTCTTTTCGCGAAGCTGGGACAGCAGGAGGAAGGGTGAGATTTTAGCTCTGAGCTCTGACTTCTTGGCTTTCTCTTTTACATTGTTTCTGTGTTTCTTATTTAATAAGACGGTTGGTTACATCTACACAGGATGATTACTTGAATTTAGGATTTTGACTAGCCTGGTAAGGTCTGGAGACACACACCTTCATCCCAGCCTGGTTTCCATCGTGAGTTCCAGATCAGCCAGAGCAACAAAGTGAGACTCTGTCTCACAGAAAGAAGGAAAAGAGGAAGGCAGACCTGGCAGGACACAGTAAAGCCCCGTTCTAGTTCCATGTTGTCGTGATAAACGCCCTCACAAAAAGCCACCAGGGAGGAAAGGGCTTATTTGGCTTAGCATTCCAGATTGCAGGCCACCGTGGAGGGGACTGGAAGGCAGGAACTTGAGCAGCTGGTCACGACACCCAAGGGAAGAGCTAAGAAACAAATGTACCCAGTCCAGTCCAGGGTGCCGCCCACAGTGGCTGCGTCCTTCCCACATGAATTAGAAATTCAAACAGGCCCACAGGCCAACCTGATCCTGACAGTTCCCCAGTCCAGGCTCCTGTCTCTGGTGGTTTTTAGGTTGTGGCAAGTCGACAATTA